AGGAAGAACAAGCTCTTGTTTCCCTAGGGGACAGATTCCCTTCACTGATAGATCAGAATAATTCAAACGATATTTTATGGATTCACCTCCAAATATCTTGCTTCAAGAGTGCCCACTATATGTGCTATCATGACAGAGTATCCAGAGAAAGGAGATCTCCTTTCCTTAGGAGATAACATTAAGTCAACTTTGTCAAAGAAGGCCAACAGAATAGTTTTCAACAGAAAATGAAGAAACAAAAAACACTGACAAGAGTAGTGTGTACCTACTGCATTTTAGACATAGTCATTTGCAATTACTTGTTTCAAATTTCCCATTTCTGATGCTGTGGAAATTAAAAGAAACCAAACTCAGTACTTACGGTTTCCACAGTTGAATCCACCTAAGCCAAACGGGCAGCTGGTAACAGAAAACAACAGGGAGTTTCAGCAGCTTAGTTGTGCCGACAGGTCACCAAAGGAATGTTAAGAAGGATGGTGGGGTAGGAGGAGGGCAGAACAGTCACCATACCTCACACAGGACTCATTTTCCAGCTTATATCCGTCTTCACAGGCTAAAAACACAGGAGAGAGAAGGGCCATGAGCACCACGTAGTGGTGCAGGGGAGGCATTTCCCATCGCCGCTTCCCACAGCAGTCTCACCCCAAACAACCTTGGGGACCGACAAGCCGGTCTGCGCTGCTGGCACAGCAGGAGTGCGATGCACTCTGGTGTGATGCAATATCTCCTCTGGTTTAGGCAAAACATTGTGCACTTAAATTCACCTCCCACTGGCTTTGATTTCAGGACCTTCCGAGCTAGCTCAGAACCTGGCACAGGGTGGGCAGCTGGTAACGTAATTCCCAGCAGAACCTCTTCTTGCCCAAATGGAAACTCACTGCACATTTGTATTGCTTCCCACAAAATAGCAGTGTAAAAAATCTGCAAGAGTCTCCAGTTTTTGTTTTGAAACCTCATTTGAAAGGTGCTACTTTAGCATTGATGCACATTATTAATTACTTTAAAATGTTAGTATTGCAACAAAATGTTATGCAAACACAGTCAAGGTAGCCCAAAGTGCTCTGTTACGTTTTGCCTCATGTCACTTTTTTTTCTTGTCTTTCAAATTTGGAGCTAAATTAAATTTTGAAATATCATATTTTACTATAGACTAGAAATTAAATTTACTAGGTCTAAATAACACAGAAAACTGCTGTGTACAAAATGTTGGTGAAAAACGGAAACCATCGCTTCAAAATAAAATAATTTCTGTGCTTATGGACAGCTATCTCATCACCTGAATTATCTGAGAATACGATACTACCCTTCAGATGAACAGCAAAGGTGATGATACATTGGACACACAATTATAAGCTTCAAATTACTGATAAGATCACCGCTTTTCTCAGCAATAGTCCCACCAGAGCTCCTGCAGATCTGCTGCCTTTCACAGAGGCAGCGAAGGTGGTCGCTCAAAGACTTGAGTAGGAGTGACACGAATGGAGTAATTTTGGGCAGAGGGATAAGCCAGGGCCAGCACATGCAGCAGCCCTTGGGGGTCTGCAAGACATCACCCAGGGGTCTGGGAAACCCCTGCAGCACACTCCACCGGGAATAAAACTAGATTGTTATGTGAAAGCAAAAATGCTCATGGATTTTTTTTTCCCCAGAAACACCATATGCTTAAAAATGGTGAGGCAGCAGCTCTCAAGCCCTCTTCCCTCTGCCTTGCTCTCTAACCTAGGGAAAGCTTAGGTGCTCTCTAACCCCAGCAAGCACAAGGAAATCTGCGGGGAGAGAAGGGGGCTGCCCAGCAGAGGTCCCAGCTAAGCCGCAGCAAAGCCCTCGCCTCCTCTCCTCCTCCTCTGCTGCTCCCAGCACACCAGATGACTTTTCCCCTCTGGCACAGCCAGCGACTGTATTTTCAGAAACACTTAGCACAGGAGGGGAGGAAGGAAGAAAAGAAGGACAACGTACAACATTGTCCATTAGGATGAGCTGGCAATATCATAGTAAACCAAGAGAGAGCACTAGTTTTCTGGCTGGATTCAGAAGTTTATGGCTCTTCCAGCACCAATAACAAGTGATATTGATGCCAGCAGGGAGCAATGTGACTGTGACCTCCCCCTCATAATACAGGTCACAGAACTTCCCTAAATTTAATTCCAGTTTCAAATCAAATAGTAGAATTGGAACTACATTTTAGAGAACCATCCAAGATTGATTTTAATATTTTCAGTGACAGACAATCAACCACAACCCTGGGTCAGATGCTCATAAAGTTAATTTCCCCAGCCATTAAAAACATTCACCTTCTTTCTGGTCTGAATTATCCCAGTGTCAAATTCCAGCCTTTGGATGTTTACTCGCTAGATTGGAAAAGGTTATATGATCACATTTCTCCTCCTCACCATCAAATCACTCCTTTGCCTTTAATAAAGCCAAGTGCACAGAGATCTTTGAGTCTCCCTGGTTATTGCAGCTTTTCTCTGAACGCTCACAGGTTCCCTTTGACCCTTTTGATTTCTGGTTCCCAGAAATAGATGTTGGAAGCCCAGGGATAACAAAACTTCCCCTCTTCTGCCTGCCCGTGCCTCCTAAATTCACCCAGGGACCATATTAGCCTTAAAAGGCAGAGCTGGGGACCTCTTCTTTACCCGCCAGGCTCCCTTCACAGCTGAGCCCAAGCCTCTGCTTTCCAGGAGACGCAACCCACAGTGTGCCTGGCACTCCGCTCTTGGATGCCTGGTCTTGCTTGTGGTCATATTGAAATACTGTTTGCCTATATACCATTTACTAAGCATCTCATGTCACTCAGTGTGCCATTTTCCCTGCGGGGTGTGTGGACACAGATGAGTGATGCACTCACATCATGAATATTGCAGCTCTAGGCACAGACTTGCTGTAGCAACTGGCACCAACGATAACGGAGGGGGCTGATGTCCACGATAGCTGGTCTTGCACCCCTTTCTCTGCCCTATATAGCCCCACTACTCTTCCACTACCTCTTTCACTCCATTTATTCTCCCAGAGCTGGGGATGGGGAGGGTGAGGCTCTTCACGTAGCCCCACTGCTTGCATCTCATCATGATGCTTTTTGCACTGGATTTATTTTTCTCTCTCTAAGATGGTTTCTTTGAAGTTAAGGAAGAGATGAGAGGTAACTGGACAAGAGTTAAGAGCCTCAGTCAACGAACAGACAGGGCAAGGGTAGTAAATCCCAAAGGATCCTTGCCTGGCTCATTCGTAACACCGAGGCATTAGCAAAATGAGACTGGATGGGTTGCTCTTTTCACTCGCTAACAAAAGCAGACCAAAAACATTATGGAGCAAACGTTCTACCAAAGTGAGCCACAAGATCAGGCAATAACAAAATCTGCAGTGAAGGGGAGGGAGGGATCACCTTGACAGCTTGCTGGAGTTGCCTTCTCTAAAGAGCGCAGCAGCCCTGTGTACCCCAGCTGCAGCCTGCTGCTTGTGTGTTGGGAAGGCCTGGAGGAGCCTGCAGGCAGATGCTGGAGCTCAGCCTAATCTCACCTCCTCAGCCCTAGCCCAATAATATGTGTAGGGCACATACAGCTTGAGTGGTCTCAAAGCTGGAGCCGTGCCTTGGGCAGGAGCAGCCCTGGGACCCCACTGGCACACAGCTCTCAGGCCGGGAGACTATAGGGGCAGTAAAGAGGAAAAGCAAGATCCTGAACATGCATCTCTCTGTCTTAAACACTCGGTGCTTATGTCTTTTCCTCTCCTCACCCTGTCTTTTCCTGCCACTTTGCTTTCTCCTCTGACATCTTTCCTGCTCCTTTGAACATGCTCCCAGGAGAGCTCGCACTGTCACACTCTCTCGGCAAGCTTTCAAACATGAGCAGGGAACAGAGGAAAGGCTTAAGTGTCAGGGGCCAAGCAAAGCTATCAAGTTGTGCTTTTCTACTTGGGATTCCTTTTCCTTTGCCTTCCCGAAAGAGACTCAGGGATCTCTTTGGAAACCTGCTTTGCTGTTCCTTGCTTCGCTCCAGAAACACTCTGTACTATTAAAAATAGCATGCCCTTGAAAAGCTGGCACATTGGGTTTGTCGCCCTGTTTCTAAAACAGCTCTGAAGATACCAGGAAGGTTGAAAACCAGCAATGACCCAGAGACGACCGAACTGCACACCGAGAGGTACCACAGCCAACATGTTGAAACTCCTGTGGCTCAGAGACCCAACCCCTCCTTGGTCCAGGGGATGCTTTTTCGAGCATGCCCCAGGAGACAGACACTGCAAGGCAGGACAGAACAATCCCTGGGGGTCAGGGCGACCGATCCCCCGTGCCTCAGCAGCCCCCCCAGCCGCACCCGCCTTCCCACGGGGGAAACCGGACAGGGCAGCACAATAGCTGTTTCCCTCTTTGCAAGTATTATAATTTGAGTTACTGCGCCACATTTTCACGACCCACAATGAGGGTCAGATGCTCAGGAGACCTCGGTTCCTGTTTAGTCACTAAAAGGGCAGAGATTTTCAAAGAGGCTGGCATATTGTATGCTATATTTATCAGAAAATAGCCCTAAATATCAAATGAGGGCCATAGCTTGGCTTTTGAAAAAGCCTTTAAAAATCCAAACCAACTGGCTTACCCAGATGGGAACAAAGTGATGCTGAAAATCTGGTATCTTGCCGGAGCGTGGCACCATGCAGTCAGTGCTACCCTCATGCCACTGCACTGCAGCCTAAATCCCGCATCAACCCTGTCCCTCAGACACTCTCAAGCTGGTCAATAAGGTGTTTCCTACTGACAGCAGCGAGCTGAAGGTGGAATTGAGGCCTCACTGTGTGCAGGTAGGGTTTTTTATCTTTTGCACAACAAACAAGACCCGTAAGTAGGGAGTAGCCACATGTAGAAGATGTTAGATCTCTTAGCCCTCTGCAACCATCGCATCCGAGTGCCTCACAGCCTTTCAGGTATTTACCTTCACAACACTGCTTGGCAAGAAAAATGGAGTAACTCGCCCTGGGTCCCCACCATCGATGATGGAGCAAGAATTGGGCAAAAGCCTCCCAGGTTTCAGCTCAGCTCCACACTCACTATATAAGCCCTTCTCTGCCTCTCAAGGGTCGGTGGAGACGGTCAGTATTTCCTAATAGAAATCCTTCCCCCAACATACAAGATGAAGGGAGGGAAGGAGAAAGGTTTTGCCTGGAGCCGCAGAGCAGAGGAGAGGCAGGACCATGACCTGGGACCCAGAGATGCCTATCTCCGAGATGTCCATCCCAGAGCCTGCAGTACAGGAGTTATTTCCGGCCATATTTTTCTCACTCTCTGATCAGATCTGAAATCGACAAAGCATCTCCTCCTATTTCAACAGCAACCCAGCAGACACTGCCAGAAGCAATATATAACCACTACTGCAATTCTTACTGATATGTCGTCAGAAAACTGCATTTCTTAAGAAGCCCTACAACAACCACTGGAACTAGGCAATGGACCTACAGAAGTGATTTTGACCACTGGCACGCAGACAAAGACCTTGTTTAAAATGTAGCAAAACCACATTTCATGATCTGAGGAGTAGCTAAAAAATAATATAACCCTTGAGCTTAAAATTTCTATTAGGAACCCAGCTGAAAAATAAATTCATAATCATTTTCAGATACTTATTTTAAAAATATTGATTATGTATTAATATAAGCTTGTGAGTTTAAAGCACTTCTAAGTTCGCTGAGAGTTCAGACAAAATCAAAACAGGCAGAGACACACGTCATCTCTGCTCTGTGCCACTGAACTGGAGCCCAAAGCGGTCGGGCCCCTTTCTCCCTCTTCTCAATCACTGTGACTCACAGCGTGCTCCAGAAAGAAATAATATTATTCCTAGAGAGAGACTGTATCTTCAGTGTCTGCTGAAAAGTCCCCTAACTAAATAAAAGAAACTTGAGCTGCTAATATTTATTCATAATATTGAGCTTCTTGCATGCACAGTGATACACACACACTCGTTTCCACTGGAACAAAAAGTTTAAGCAAAATTCAGGCAAAATACACCACATAAAGAGCAATACCTCTGCAGGAGTGGTCCATCTTGTTGTATTTGAAGTACCCACTTTTGCACTGGCAGAGCGCGACTCCATCGAAGTCAGTGCATTCAGAAGTTTCCTTGTCGCATTCAGGGTCTTTCTGCTTGCACAAGCTGCCAACTGTCGGGAAGAGGTGGCCAACATCAGCACGGTTCTCTCTGAAGCCACCATCATGCACTTTTGCTTTCCCCAGGCATCACATTCAGCTCACGTGCTGCTTTAATCTCTTTTCTTTTTTTTTTTTAATATTTGTTTCATTAGGAGACAGTCAACATTACACTATGTCACCATTTCTTGCATATCTACCGTCATTTGTACAGGCAAATAGAGGGAGCGAATAATAAATGTTTCAGCTCGGAGGCAGAAGGGGAAATGAAAAAGAAAAATTTGGTTTGGCTCAAGCTGAAACACATTCACCCCCTGAGACAGGTCAACAAATCAATTTTTAAGTTTATATCAAGCAAAACATTTTGCTCAGCCCAAAACAATTTTTTTCCATTTCAATATTAAGCGCTGAATTTTTTCATTTTTCAAACAAAGAATTTGTCCTTTCATTTACATTACTTTGAAGCTGTGTTTTACTTTAGAAAGTCAGATTTGTTACAATGAGCATTCAGCAAAACTGTGGGTAAATGATGGAAATTGTGTCACCGAATTTACATTTTTTACTGGGAGGTCGGACTAAATAGAATGAACAAATGAAAAAATATTCACGAGAAACAGGATTTTATGGAAAACGTGTCACTCATTTGGCACTCACCTTTTATAAACCTCTCCCTGCTAGATCCATCATCTCTTTTTTTTTTTGATCTGACATCTTTTAAGTACATACACAAGAACATAATTTGTTTCTTATTCTGCTTATTTCAAGTTAGAAGTAGACTTTACCAGAAGCATTGTATCAGAGGTAACTGCTAGATATAATCCGAGCGGGTCTACCGAAATAATTTAATTCCATCCATAATGGAGTGTGGCTTTAAAATATGGCACTTTTAAGTAAAAGCACACGCTAAATTTCTCATCTTCATGTTTACTTTGCCAGAACAATCTGAGGGGTTTCCCACTACACCCAGCTAAGCGCTGCTGCCCTTCATCCTCAAAGCCAAACCCTGAATCCTTAAACCCTGAAGTCACAGAGCTCCACGTGCAGAAGTTTCCTTGCAGGAGCCCGTCTTTCAAGGGTGCTCACTCCCTGCATCCTGCCGGTACCTCTCACGGCTAAATCTCCTCTATCGCTCCCTCGAGAAGTGAGGACCGGGAGGTGCAGGGCACAAGGCCACCACCACCGGTGGGGTCCACCCAGAGAAGGTCCTGCACAACACTGATGTGCTTCTCCAGGGCTCTTTGTGCTGCACCCATGTTCCTGTTTGGCAGGTAGAGGATTTGGTACAGAAATCGAAAGCTCTTAATTGTCAACCATTTTTACACCCTGCAACACTGAAACTGGGCAGGCAGGAGAGCACAGCTCCCCACGTAGCCTCCAGCAGCTCTAATCCACTTCACTGGGGGGTTTTGTCTCTTGGCTTTCACGCTGTTTCCCCGGCTCCCGGCCGTGCGGGTGGAATTAAGACTTATGTTTTTTTGATCTGGCCGGGGCCCGGTGTCACATCCCGGAGATGAAAGGCTGCCCCACAATGCCTCTAATCCTGTGCTGCGCGATGTTTTCACAGAGAGGCAGATTTCTCACACATGTGGTGAAGATAAGGCGGGATATCTCCATCCCTTTTGTACTGCGAGGCTCTTAAGATGACTCCCATTTAAATAAGATAAAAAAGATTCAGAGGGGTTTTTCCAAACGCCAAAATCTTTCTCTCCCTGTTAAAAAGAAGCCAAATAAAACATCCCTTTGCCCTCCCGTCACAGTGCCTCCAGATGCTATTTACCTCTGTGGAGCGGCTTCAGGCTGGAGATGAACTGGCAGGCTTCAGTAGGGTATTTGCAAGCTCGAATGTAGCTTTTCACGCTGCTGACAACGTCGTAGAAAGTCACGTTGGATGCTAAAGAGAACGTGGATTGCACTGAAACATGCACAAAATTTGCCTCCCTAACAGAAAACAAAACAAAACAGCCCTGAGTACCATGGGTCAGTCTGATGTCATCATTAGCACTTTATACATAGGACTCTTATTAACACAAGCGATGCTTATCACAGACACAATATCGCATACATACTGAAACAGCCGTGCATTTTAACACACCTTAAAAACAGGACAAACTTACACACAGAGAGGTAAATTTGTGGCTGGAAGGGGCGCTGGTAGCTCACTTTGAAACCAGCCATAAATCCCTCCTGGGCAGCTCACAAGCCCACCCCCAAGCCCCTCAGGCCAGGAGGAGGGTACCGGCAGAGCCAGGCAAGGTACATTCCCCATGCCCTGTGCTACCACTGGGCCGTATTGCATCAAGCCCAGCACCAACTCAAAATGGAGAATGTGGATCTCAAGTTGAACATCCCGAATGCTCGAGTTTCTCATTCTTCCCCTGGTAGCCTTAGCCTTACCTGGTCGCCTTAACTGTGGAGTGGTGGTACCCCGGCAAGCCCGACAGCGACGCATTGAGCTGCAAGGAAGGAGAGAGCAGCTGTTAGTGCCCCAGGGGATGATGGAGGGAGGCAGCCCGGTGGGACGCAGCACAGGACAGCCCTCCCAGGTCACCGACACCAACCCCTGTGTTCGCCAGAGCTGCCTGCTGAGGCCGAGGGGGGCTCTGAGCATCCCAGCTGTTCATCTGCTCAGTAAGAAATATGCACCGTCCTGTTGCCAGCAAGGGATGGCCGAAGTCACCATCGCACAGCCTTGGACAGGAGCGAAGACCTGAGGATTTTGACATGAGCATCTGCCTGGGGCCCCACGATGCAATGACCGCAAAGGCCGAGGATGAGCCAGAAGCCAGCAGGGAGAGAGCCCCACGCAAGGCTGAGCTCAAAGCAGTGCCCTCAGAGATTGCACATCTTCCAAGGAGCCTCCCTCCCCCTGGATCCACATGGCTGTTTGTGTTCACTCCTCAGCACAAGCCATGCAGGCAGCATCAAGGCAGCTCACCCTGGCTCCCCCCTCCTTTGGCGGCATCTCCAAATCACCTACTCCAAAAAGAGTTGGGATGAACTGCAGCCAGCCCAGGAACTGCTAACAGGACGAACTCATGCATACAATGATCTGGCTAAAAAATGCACAGAGATGGACCTATCCCCAACCCAGGGGTCTTTTTGAAGCAACTGATGGCACAGCATATGGGGAAGCCACCAGCTCATCCAGTGCTTGCTCTCAACTGACCGGCAAAGGCCGAGGATGAGCCAGAAGCCAGCAGGGAGAGAGCCCCACGCAAGGCTGAGCTCAAAGCAGTGCCCTCAGAGATTGCACATCTTCCAAGGAGCCTCCCTCCCCCTGGATCCGCATGGCTGTTTGTGTTCACTCCTCAGCACAAGCCATGCAGGCAGCTCACCCTGGCTCCCCCCTCCTTTGGCGGCATCTCCAAATCACGTACTCCAAAAAGAGTTGGGATGAACTGCAGCCAGCCCAGGAACTGCTAACAGGACGAACTCATGCATACAATGATCTGGCTAAAAAATGCACAGAGATGGACCTATCCCCAACCCAGGGGTCTTTTTGAAGCAACTGATGGCACAGCATATGGGGAAGCCACCAGCTCATCCAGTGCTTGCTCTCAACTGACCGAGGGCCACATGGTTGCAATAGCATGGCTGGGAAGCTCCACCAGGAGGAAGGTATGTTTGGGTGGGTGCTGCTGCTGTGCTTCATCCCATGGGGTTTGGCTAAGAGCAAGATGGCACCAGCTGCAGTCCAACCCGTCCCAGCACCTGTGAGCTTTACTGACGAACAACGAAGCCCAGAGTTACTATTTTAATGTTTGACCTTGGAGGAGCACTAATGCCCTTTCGAGGTCTGGAAAAGGCAATGCAGCCAAAAGACACTGGAAAGGGTGGAGGCCACAGAAGCGTGACCCCAGCCACACCACTTCACAAAAAGGGCTTCAGGATCTTCTGGGCAGATATACTGTCTTAATCCCCATAGGAGCCGGATCTCTCCGCTGCTGTCTTGACAGCCTGGGCAGGGCAGGGAAGAGGAGCGTGCTGGGATTTAAAAGCATACATCTCACCAGTCCTACTTACACCAGACGAGGATCGTTCAACGATTAAAAAGGCTAAATCCCCTCTACAGAGTCTCATGGCTTCCCATGACAACCGTAAGAGGAGCGAAGGGGATCAGCATTGACAAAGTCCTGGCAATGACACTCACCATCGCCAGGATCTCACCCTCGACGTGGAGGAGCTCTGTGTACTTCCCATGGGTAATGTTAACTTTCAGGGGGACCTGGCCAATAAATATTCTTACTAAAAAGGAGAATAAGACAAGTTAGTCGGAACACATGTCTCCGTGCCATGTGGAGCTGCGGTTTCATCCGCCTTACATGAGAGACTGTCTGCATGGAAAACCCCTTCACGCAGTGGACAGAAAACTCATGTCTGAGAGTCACTGCCTCAGTAAAGCAAAGTCCCAGCCTTGGGATTTTTCCCAAGGGTTGCTGCGATGTTCCCACAGCCCCAGTCAAATTCCAGAGCTCAGTGCTGCTGAACAGCCAGCATTTCACCGCAGCGTTCATACATTTCATATAGAAACACAGACTTCAAAATTTAAAAGGACCCCTGAACAGAGAGGGAGCTGGGTAAATTTAGTAACAAGACAGTTTCAGGTACCAAAGCTATTTATAATAATTTGGGGTAAACGTATTGAATCTCTTATCCCTCCCTGCAATGGAAGGAAAGCAAATCAACAAGTCAAAATAAAGCACTGTAGAAAGGACATTTTCATTTTTCAAATTGTTGGACAGAATGAGCAATGACATTTGAAAAGGGGTCCAAAAGATGCATTTTTCCATGCTTAGATTCATATTTGATTCATGGCAGCAGAATGCAATAATCTGAGTTGTCCAGACTCGAAGAGATAATACCTCTAAATCTTGTATTAAGTGTCATGAGATACTCGGTGGAAATGAGAACTCAGAGCTCCAGTTTTATGTTCCACCAGAAAAACAAATACGGTTGCAGATAACATTATAAAGCCTCCAATTCTTTCCCATTTTTTCCCATCCACAGAGCCTATTCTCACCACAAATTTTATATCAGGCAGCTCTAATGTAACAACTCCGGGTAAAAATAAGATGAGAATCACCTTCACGGTATCTATATAATCTGCCTGTATCCCAGTTCAAGGCATAATCAAAACAACTCTCTAAATTAGAAGCTGACACATTCCAACTCAAAGAAATGTTTCAAAACACCCTTCAGGGACACCTCACCCATGTTTCCTCAGCAAAATTTCCATGCCTCTAATCCTCGCTGATTAAGGGTCAGAAGAAACTCTAGCAAAACAAATTCCCCTTTACAATGGGACATTGTAAGTCCTTGAGATTGAGAGCCCTCTAATAGAAAGGAGGGGGTCAGAACCTGAGTTCCAACTAATAACTGTGCTGCATGAAAAATGCTAAAGGTACGAAACAAGACCTTGATCTTACAAAGACTTTCACGGCTGCTTAATTTTCCGCACATGGCTGATCCCACTGAAGCCAGGTTACACAACAGCCCCACTCCCTTCTCCCAGGCCAAGCGCCATCGCCCGGGTTTGCAGGTCTGGGAGCTACGGTAAGCTGCTGAATGCTTTTTGGGGTTGTAAAACACATTAGGATCAGAAGGGGCACATCTGTCCTTACTAACAAGCCTGAACCCACTGCTCTGTTGCTGTGTTTTTAAGAAACACTCAGCTATCACTGCGCCTGCTCCCCGGGGCACCCCAACACGACAGGCATTAGACACTGCACTTGTATAAACAGTAAAAGGCTCTTGTTAAAAGTGGTGGTTGGGAGGAACATTAAGCTCCTGAACTAGTCTGAGCCTAGGTTAATTTATTTTAGAAGATTACAGATAATTATTTCCACCTTTTTCTCCCCTGGTTTTTCACTTTTGTTTTCTTACCTAAATTGCACTTTCCTTTTTCCAGCTCATATCCAAGAGGACACTGACAGATATAGGAGCCATGGGTGTTGTTGCAGGTGGCCAGCGCAGGACAAGGGTTGGAAAGACATTTATCCACATCTACAAAAGCAGAAAAAACCCAGGCTATAGTTACAGAATCACAAAAGTCATCAACTGTTGGGCTAAAAAAGATCAGCTTGGCTCCTCTTCTGTGACCCCCTGAGCACTATCAGATGCCTCATTGCATCCTTTGCACTTACTATTTTTCCAGTTCTTAATTTTTCTGTTGGAGCTGAAAGAATAAAACCACTTTCTCCTGAATATTCCTTCAAAAGCCTTTGGGATCCAGTGTTGATCCATGTTAATATGAACACCCAGGCTGTCTACAGCACTGGTCACCTGCAGACCTCAGGGTGCTTTTCAAAGACAAACAACCCTACAGTCATGAATGGAGAGACCGAAGAAGGGGTCTCGACAGCCAGAGCTAGACATGGGAGCATGGGCTCCTTCACCAAAGTCCTGCCCTTTTCATCCAAGCCCTTTCCATGACCCAAAGCTCGTGCTTGAACACTGACGCAGCCTGTAGATAACCCAGTAATGGTGGAGGCAGTCCTGGCTGCTGTCACTTCCTTTACCGGGGCTGCAGTCTCCTCCATGCCAGGCTGGGGATGGTCACAGCAGCGATACCTGCCTGTGCCACTGCTCGTAACGCACTTCCCGCTGGGTGAGCAAGGGCTTGGGGAGCAGACACCAACTGTGAAATACGGAGTATGAGGGGATTAATGACTGTCGTCTCAGTTGCTTCATAGATTAGCCAACCCAAACTGCAAATTCTGGAGAAGATATCAAATACTTCCCTTTGAAAAGAACCGTGCCCTGGTCAAAAATGCTCCTCTTGCTGTGCATATGACTCACATGAGCACAAACGCACGTCACACACGTGTGCAAGGGCAGACCATAGGCAGGACTGTGGACTTGCTGGTGACAAGGCGCTACAAGACGAGCAAGACAGCTTACCCACCACTCGTACCTATTTTGCAGCTGCTGCAGAGCACTGCAGCAGAGCCAGGAAGGATGGGCTTTGTGGTTAAAGCACAAAGCACGAGAGCCAAACCCATATGTGTATTTCTGACAGCGCCACAATACCCTGTGGCATCACGCAGGCCCTGCAGACCAGACAGTCCCAAGCCGACCTCTGCACTGGGACACACCATTTGACGCAATCTCCGTGTCTCAACTACCCTGGCATGGCTACCTCAGCATCAGCGAGAAGGACATTTGGTGTCTCTGATCTAAGCAGCCAGAAATGAGTGGGTGTATTTTAAAATGTTGGCTTTCACTTTGCTGTCCTTCAGTTTGCGCTTTGTACAGTGGGGACCAGGGCAGCTTCTTCGCTCGTGGCAGTGAGCGCCCACGTACAAAGCACCATGTCCAAGGCAGCAGAAGGATCTTTTGCATTCTGGTAAATGGCAAAACTCGTTATTTAAATGAAAGATTAACTTGGCAAAAGTGTGAATCAGTTGGTAAAAAGGATATGTTACTTTAATTTTTCGATTAAAAAAATCCATTCCCCTACAGTGAATTTTTTTGCATGAAGCCATAGCTATAATTAAAACCAATCAGCCTCAGAAATAACCTTTAAATACTTAATTATTGGATGGAATATATGCTATTGCCAGTATTTCACTGAGATTAGTGCAATTAGCACACACGATATCCTACAGCGGCATGAGGGCCATGCTCCTGAACTTTAAACACACAATTGATTTCCATTCATACAAAACTTCGGTCACTACTTGAGAAGATAAGGAGCCTGGCAGTGGTAATAAATGATTGTAACAACACACTCAGAAAGACTACGGTACGTAGCCTACCAGGAGAAGCAACAGGCCTTTGAGTAGGAGATTATTTAGTGACGTGGGGAGAAAATGACCATAGGTCATAATAACAGAAGAAGTTCCAACACAAATACCATGTGCTGGCTAACCGCCTTTTCTCATGAATAAGATAGATATTGATCGATATAGATCGATATTGCCGACCGATCAACAAATATAAAATGCATCCTACGCTTACCTGGAAGGCCAGACAGCTTTATTTTCTTAAAATTCTCAAATTTCAGCTTAACATTTCTATCAGAATTGTTCACCAAAATGCTCACCTTTTTCCAGCAGTTTAGCTTGATTACTAAACCCTTAGCTTAAAAATACCAACATGGAGACCAAGTTCTTATCCTCAAACCCTGCTGACAACAGACTTGTCACATATACATACATAACCCTTCGAAGACCCTTAAAGTGGGACCCAGGCATTCCCGGCCCCACCACTGATGAGCACCATTAGACACATTACCTGTTGCTGGAGACGACATCCTCAGCCCGGCTGTGCTACTCAGTGGAGGAACGGTGGTTGGTTTGGCAGCAGCCAAAGTAGTTGCAATGCTCACAGTGGTCTTGCTGGTTGGAGGGGCTTCAGAAGGACTCGTAACAGGGACGTTTTCCTCGGTGACTTTACCAGGCCTCGCAGTGGTGGGATCCACAGCTTCTGTGCTTTCACCAGTGGTATACACGTGCTTAGTGGCAGTGGGCGTCTGAGCTCTGTGGGCTTTCATGGTGCTAGCATCACCTGGGGTTGGCCAGCGACTGGCCGGTGTTGTCAGCACAGAAGGTTTCACCGTGGTCAGTGCCACCGCAGGGACAATGACGCTGTGGTTTGTTGCACTTGGTGAGGGACTAAGGGGTGCATCCGTCGGCCCAGCCCGTGGGGCTTCGCTGGCTGTGGTGAGCAGTGGCGTTGCCTTCCCAAAGCTGCCCTCCTGGCTGGTGGCAGCTCTTGGCGAGGCAGTCTCCGTTACCGTCGCAGGAGCAGACACGGACATGATGTGTCCACCAAGCTGCTCCATGGGTGCCGTAGAGAGAGGAGACCCGGTGGAGGTGAAGGTGGTGCTGTTTTGGGGCTGGTGCGTGACATTGTGCTTGTTGGTCCCTCTGGGCGAGCTCCCAGCCACAGCGGCTGTGGAGGGCACCCGCCTGACCACAGTTGTAGGTACAGAGGTGCTTGCTTGATCACTATCGTTGGACTGCGAGACGGATGATGGTGACGAAAACAGAGGCAATAAAGATGCTAATGAATAAGATGGGGAAAGCAACGAGGAAGTGGGCAAGGAGGATGACAAAGCCTGCAGAGGGGGTGAAGATGCCATCACAGAGGACGAGAGTGGCTCAGATGATTCTGATGATGTAAACAGATAAGTTGGTGGTGGTGTTGATGACAGTGAGTGATGCAGCGATGACAGTGAGGAAGAGGCTGGAAATGCTGATGAAGATAGAGATGATCTGCCAGTGGTCAACAGCTCAGAGTCAGTGTTGAAGAGAGTTGTATTTTGTACGCTGCCTGCAGAAGCAGAAGTCAACAATTTGGAAGAGTGTACCAGCAGTGGCTCTGTAGATGGTTCAACAAAATCGCCATCGCTGGATACGTTGCTTCTCCTGTCTTGTGCCACAGAAGATTTTGATGAATCAGAAGGGTTGGTAATTTCAGAAAAAAAGGTGGAACTTTCTGAGGAGTCAGCAGAGGTGCTGCTATTCGAGATAGACAGGAGGGTCCTTTCTCCTCCTCTGGTATATGTAGTTGAAATGTATGTGCCGTCCGTATGAGAAACCGAGGTCCTTTTCTCAGCATCGATGCTACTGACTGGCTGATGGCTACTTGAAAAGCCTGGAGTAAAAGGACAAAATATATTAGAAAGACAGAGTAATATGAAAGTATTTTGATGTCATATTAAAATCACTTGCTAAATACATAAAATGTTCTTGTCTGTGAACTGGTCTGTGCTCTTCTAAAAATTTAGAGCACCATCCAAGCATGGGTATTGAATTAGGAGTCTTCTGTGCTCCTTAATTGATTCTAAAATAGTGAACTTGGACAGACACAAGGCTCCGTGAAATATGTAGGTTTCTAAAACACTGTTCTTCCAGTATTGCTTTTCTAATGTGATTGAGTACTTATCGTTCTGTGATATTTTGTGGCAAGCTAAGCAGGAAAACCCATCTGTTCTCTTTATCGCTCATAATTTATAAAACTCATATCCTTTCCCTCTTATCCTCCATTCCCAACTAAAGAATATCCATCTTCTTCAGACGATTTTTTTTTAGACACAGTGAATTTCATGCCTCTGCAGGGTGAAATTATTACATTATGTTAATTTGCAGCTTATCATGAACTCATTGATTGAAAACTTTGCAGTCAGGAAATCCTAAATGAGTAGCACATCAGTCTGCAAAAAAATCAGATTTAGCATAAAAGGTGCAGTCAATCTTATAATACGAATTTCAGGATGTACAGCTAAGTTCAGCAATCTCTAAAAATAAAAAATAGGGTATTGAAAATTTGGTTTAATTCTACAATTGACTTAGGTCATCATGAAACACTTCTGAAAGCATCACCCAAAAGAAACCACAGTTAGGATGCAAAAAAATAATGCGGCCATCAAAACAGGAGAGTTTCCCTGCTCAGGTTCATGGCTTCACTTCTGGAACAATTCTGGGTTTGGCTTTGAGTTCTTTGATGAAAACATCCCCTTGAGTGAACCCACAGCTGGCATTGCACGTACTAATGAAAGAGAACTTTGTATACAACATAGATAAATGCAGGACAATGTGAACTTCCCCACCCCCACCAAATGTACACCGGGAGACACTAACTTACTTGTGAGATCGTTTTGGAAAGAAGAGTAAGTGGGTATCTTGGAAGAATGTGTGAAGAGTGTCTCTGTCGCAAATCCTGCAAAGCCCCCGCTGCTGGTGGAGGCGTTGGCCGTCCCACTCTGCTCCACCGACACCGGCTGAGCCGGCCTTGGAGAGCTGGTGGTTTCGGTGTAGGAAGCGGAGCTCTCCGTGCCACCAGCCAGCGCGCCGTCTGTCACCGAGTGCAGCGTCCTCTCTCCACCGCCAGCAGACATGGATGAACTGTACGCAGGATCACTGATGGGGCTGGACATCCTTTCCTCGGCACTCAAGCTGCTTAGAGAGTGATGACTGTTGCTCATGGCTGGAATAGGATCAAAAAGCAGGCATCTGATTTTATCATCTCAGAGTAGAGAGCACTTGTGAGTTCTACAATAATTCTGCTTGGAAATGCAGATTAATAAAATTGCACAGATAAACACAGATTAAAAACAGATTAAGTAGATCTCACATATCTATCACCTTAAAGGTGGATTTAACACACAAAGCCTACTCCAAAGGAACAGGACTGTCCAAATACAGATGAACAATTGGTACCATTAGAGTCATAATGGCATATTTATGTTAGTTATAATCATCACCCCAGCCCAGGCAGGTAGTAGGTGTGTCCTACAGCAAGAAGCTACACGTCTCATTCCTGAGACTTTTTTGTTAAGCATCAACAGCTGCAGATATACACCAAGGAGCAGAATCACCCCTGCTTATAAATCCTGCCCATGACACCCGCAACAGCTCTGACACATGTTGGTGTTAATATCAACCCCACGGAAGAGGGGAAGGGAGAGGCAGTGGGTTTTTTCCTAATTCAAATGCCATCCTGGAGTTCAGAAAAACTCACTGGAAGGTTCACCAGCAGCTGAGAAGTAGGTGGAGACCCTGGATGAAAGGGTGACCTTGGGCTCTGGGTACCCTGCTCGGCCGGACGAGATGTGTCCCGTTCCAGGCCATGCCGTGGAAGACAAGAAGGGGCTGGTGCGGGGCTCCCCAGCCATGTCTGGGTGAGACGTGGGGCTTTCCGCTGCTGTGCTCCACATGCCATGGTTAGCTGCAGCCTGAGACGTTCCCTCCTTGTGGCTGGAGAGTGTGGTCGAGACATACGTGGTCTCAGTAGGAGCACCAGAAACTCTTCTTCCTCTCTCTGGAATTGCAAAGCAGAGATATACATAGATATATATAAAAATATATATTTTGTATATTAATAAAACCTTTGAGGCCTCTACAGGGACTAAAATCTGAGTATTTCAATCCCCGCAGTGGGGGTGACCAACATCACTTATTTGCTAAGTGGAGTTCCCAGGTGATCTGTACTTTTCCCCTTTACACCAGAAAAATTAAACAGATTGGGGGGCGTGGCGTTTCTGAAGGAGAATGGTGGCAGGGCGGTAGGACCTGGTCTTGAATGTCCTGCAGAAAATTCCCTTGGGTGGACCAGTGGCTTTCAAACCAGCTCTGGTGGGACCCTGGCAGCAGAGCTGAGGCTGAAACACACGATAACTGGGATATAAGGAATGGTGAAAGGTCTACGTTTCCAAAGGTCTATGCCTTGCCAAATCTTATGCCAGGCTTCCCCGGTTTGAGGTCTGAGGTCAAGGCTCCATGGCAGCCTTCACATGTGGCCCAGAAGAACTGCCTGGCCGTCTAGTTCCCAACACGAGAAGTGCTGCCCCAAGTGCCGTGAGGCAAATAACTCACCAACCGTGCAGTGCCCTTCACTATAAACCAGGCTTACTAAAAAGGCAAATCTAGTTTAAAGCTAGAAAAGGCAGGGTGGGAGCTCAGGAGGGGGGTGAGGAGGAGGGATGTCCTCCACAGCAAACCGGGAAACCACAAGACCCACCTGAAGCACTTGGTGAAGGCAAAGGCACTGAAATGCTGGGAGAAAATGCAGGCAGTGGCTTCGTTGGAAGCTCACCGAGTCTGGCACCGCTCTGCGAAACATCGCTCTGCCTCCCAGGCTCTGTTGCTGATGAGGATGGCAGAAGGACCACGTCCAAGGAGCTGGTGCAGGGCAGAGCAGTAGCAGAGTTCCCTGCCCTGCTGGATGCTGCGTGGGTGTCTGACACGGGCACTGGGCTCCTCTCCCCACCGCTGGTGGCTATCATTGAGCTGGGCGTACCGGTGAGAGGAGCATCGCGCAGGCGTCCTCCCATAGCTGAGGTCCCTTCCGCTGAGAAAGGGCAAAACAAAATGAATTTACACACCTTAAGCTATAAACAGGTGGGCGTGCTCTTTTCCATCACCACCCTTAGGCTGATGGCACAGATATAACGTGGCAGAAGATCCAAACCTGGAGAAAACGCTAGCTGTGAAGACACAACCCTTTCCTGTGCAAGGAGGTGCTGCTCACAGGAGGACACCCTGAAAAGGGAACTAGGAACAAGTCGTGGGAGCGCTGTTGGGTTTGCTTCCCTTCGGCGCTGCTCCTGGCGCTGCCCTCCAGCCGTGGGCACCGTGCACCCACACCGCCACCGCAGCGCCCGCGGTGAGCGAGGTAGGGTTACGGCAGCACCTAACTCCCTGATACTTGAAACAGAGCTCAGCAGGGCTGTACGGGGCCAGTAAATGCTGCATTTGCATCCCAGGGAGGGAGTCAGGAGTGACTGGTGTTGCCTCCTGCTTGTATAAACACAGCCAACAGGGCAGTCTTGAAATTGTGCTAAGAAAACATGACAAATCTCAGGGCCAGACTGCTCTTGCAGTAAGCCTGGGTTTGTCTGGTGACTAAATGCAAAAAACAGCTAATGCATTTTTCTCTGGAAGTTGAAATTTTCCTCCATAATGCCCAATACCATTGTCTAGCACCTTCTAGCACGCCCTCACTCCACACAGAGCAGATGTTTGAAGTCTACAAGAAGCAGCCCCACGGGGACAGTCAGGGCTCACCTGGAGAAGCACTTTCCAAAGCAGACGGCGAGCCTGTGAGCAATGGGTCCGTGGACGACACGGTGGCACCTCTGCCACCACCCTGGGCTCCCAAAGAGGACCGGGTATGGTCTGGAGAGCTGATGGTTTCAGTACCAGTGGTGGAAATCTCTGCTGCATCGGCCAGCCTGGTGCTGGCTGGCAGAGACCTTAACGTCCTCCCTCCACCCTTGGTGGCTGTTATGGAAACAGAGGTACTGGTGGTAGGGAAATCGGTTCTTCTCTCTGTTGACAGGATACTGAATGACACATGGCTGCTTCCAGTAGCTAAGATGCGATAAAGAAACAATTTACATTTTCACACAAGTGAAACTATGAATAAACAGATGAGCTTTCTTCCAGTAACACCCAGCAGCAGCAAGTACATGCACAAGTAGAAAATATGAGAAGATGTCAATCCAGAGAAAATAGGAAATTTCCAAAGACATGAATCCTTCCTACAGAAATTTGTCTTCTAAAAAACATGGTTTGATGCTGAGAAAAGTGCTATTGTATAAAAACTCCTGAACTACTAACACTGTGCATTTGATTTCACCATTATGTGCCTGAGTGCACTCCATGCTGCTAGAACAAACAAATACCGTAACAACCCAGAAAAGCCTGGAAATCAGTTCAGACAAGGCACAATGCTGAGCAGTGTGAAGGTCTTAGAGAAGAAGTCTGAAGAAATGGGGTCAGGGGGATCAGACACCTTCAGCACCGCAACGGGGTCTAGAACCAAACAGCGGCATGAAGGACCTCAGAGATCACATTCAAAGTTGCCTTAAATTTGTTGAATTGGTTTGATTTCTGAGAAGCAGCGTGGTCCAAGGGGTAGGACAGAGGGCAGGAACTGAAGTCCAGTCCCTGGGACTGCAGGGACATGATCTAATCCTCCCTTGCTTAGTTCTCTTGCCTATAAAATTGAGATAGCAACTGGAGATAGTAAAAAAAGAATTGTGATTTGAAAGTTAATTATTTTTCTTGGCATAACAAAACTTTCCATGCATGTGCCCTTGCTGTAATAAAACCAAACCACATTTTTTGGTCAAGCAAGAGTTGAAACATTTCAGACACAAAAATCACACTGCATCCTTCCAAACAATATATTCTGCATAGCTGTCACGTCTTTTGACAGCAGAAAAGAGTCACGCAAGTGTAAGATACAATAACAGTCCTCCTTTTACTTACAAGAAAAATGGTATTTCACTTCTAACTTGAGCTCACCTGGGGAAGGATCTTCTGAAGGAGAGTGAGAGCGTGTTAACAAAGGGTCTGCCACCTGCTCCGTGAAATCTGTGGTTTCTCTGGACCCATGAACTCCGTAGGTCTCTCTCACAGAAGATGCAGAGGAGGATTGGATCGTGCCCAAGGTCCTGTACATGCCACTGCTGGACGTCTGCTACCCTGGGGCTGCTGCCTGTGGCAGACCTCGGGGGCCTCCCACCGCTGCCGGTGGCCGTGGCCGAAATGAAAGCTCTGGTGGGAGAGGAAGCAAGGGCGGGTTTCTCTGTCGTTGAGCTGTTAACTGGTCGGTGGCTGCTTCTGACACCTAAGATACAATAAAACCAGGTTTGATTTATGCATAAATACATTTGAGGGATTGTTTGTACAGTCTTGAAATTGTGACTGTTCGTTGAGAACATGGGGTCAGGGGGCCATTAAATAGACCAAGTTCTCAACCTGGAAAAGGCGCTGCTCTGGGAAGAGGCAAATCCCCTATGTTCAGGCACACGTGGCTTACAAAAAGCCATGAAAATCACAACTTAAAACCGTGTTTTTTAACTGCAGGCTATGCACAATACCTGATTTATGCATTTAAGGTGCCTTTGAGCCTGTTTAAATCAGGAGTATATACCTTTAACTTCAAAGCAAATCTAGAGGATGAGCTAAAAAAGGCCTGGTTTAGGTTTTCTAGTGACAGTCCAGAGAGCCAAGCTGCCATCTCAGTGCCAGGCTGACGGCATAGCCATGGGGCCGAGCCCCCCGCAGCACCGGGCAGTCAGGGCCACACAGGGCCGGACACAGCCTCACCCATAAGATGCTCAGAAACACCCCGGCACCCCAGCCTGGCATTCAACCCAGCCTGATTTATCCCATGTTTAGCTGGCATGCTGCCCCAGGGCTCTCCCAAACCACAGTGCTGGGGATGCCAGCATGTCGCCAGCTCACCGGGAGCAGGCACTGCACTACGACTCACAAAGTGATGGGCTTAATTGTGAATTAATAGCGAATGTTGGGGCAGAGCTCACTTGGGACCACTCCAAGGGCACGGGGCGAGTCAGCACTGTCGTGGTTGCCGGGGACTCCCAAAACACCACCTCTCTCACCGACCAGCCTTCACGGCAGATGCAGCGCCAGGCAATGGCTGCAAATCCCCAACAAAAGTGTCTCCAGCAGGGAAAAAGTGCATGCACGTATTTCTAAACGATGGCTGCTTTTCCCAGCACGGGAGTTTCATTAGAAATGAGGACACTGATGCTTTTCACTTTCTCACCCAAAAGCTGAGATCCACTCCCACCCTTCCCCCCAGCCCCACTGCCAGCCCGAGGCAGCCAGTGATAAAAATACCCACATATCCAATAGCCACTGATGGCCATATCTAAAGAAAAACAGCACGGGGATGTGAAATCCCATCCAACCCCAAAGCAGCCAACTTTCAGACTAACAAATTTACCTCTGAAAGTACTTTCAGCGGCAGAGAGAGTGCTTGTGAGCAAAGGCTCCCCGGGAGGTGCTGGGAGGTCGGTGGCTTCCTGTGAGCCATTAGGATGGTGTGTCCCAGCCCCCGAGGAGAAGGTCCCCTGGAAAGAGCTGGTGAGGTCGGTGCTGGTGGCAGAGCCCCTTGTCACCCTGGCTGTGCCACCGTTTGGGGGGGATCCCGGTGCCCCCACTGCCATGCTGGGCATGTCAGCAGCATGGGTGTCCAAGTGCAGCGTCGCCTCTTCTGCAGTTGGGATGCTCTTGGGTTCGTAATTGCTGCTAAAAGCTAAAAAAAGAAGAACAGAAATATAAAGCTGCATGCATGTAAATGAAAACAGCTGGGTAGGTTTCATCCCGCTATCAGTAGATGTAGACAATGTATGTGTGAATATTCAATACGGAAATATTTAATACTGGGAAATCATTAAGACAGGGGAAAAAAATGGTCTTTACATAGGAACTCCTGAAGTTATTGCTTGCAAAATTCAACTGAAAGTTTTCAAGGAAAATCTATCCTCCTCTTCCAACAAGAATAATATTTATCCATACTTTCATTTCTGTGAAATGTTTTTAAATGTACAGAATGTGCCAAATACAATATTATTCCTCCTTTCTTTAAAATAAAAAGGATGTATTTTGTTTATAAAAAGTCTTTAAATAATGTTCTGAGTTATACAGCTAGCTATCAAAACTCACTCGTGGAAGCGCTTTCCGAAGCAGACAGCGAGCCTGTGAGCAGCGGGTCTGTGGCACCTCTGCCGCCACCACCCTGGGCTCCCAAAGACATCCCAGGAGACCAGGTCCGGTCTGAAGAGCTGGTGATTTCGGTACCAGCGGTGGAAATCTCTGCTGCATCGGCCAGCCTGGTGCTGGCTGGCAGAGACCTTAACGTCCTCCCTCCACCCTTGGTGGCTGTTATGGAAACGGAGGTACTGGTGGTGAGGAAATCCGAAACTCTCCTCTCTGTGGCCGAGACGTCGGATGGCTGGTAGCTGCTTCCAATGGCTATGGCACAATAAAAAAACTGGATTTATACGTATGAAATTATAAACAGATGGATCCATTTTCTTCCCAGATGCTTACAGCGCACATACGGATATTAAGCATAGGAAGTTTTCAATCTGGACAAAGTGCTCTTTTGGAAAGGCATGAATCCCCTTGCTGCAGGAAGACCTTGCACAAAACCCGGGGCTCGCCGCCAGGACAGCGCGGCTTCACGAGAGCCGGGGCTGCTCGGCCAGCAGAAAACCCCACGGGACAAGGACTGCGGAGCCTTGCCTTTAAATCCCACCTTTGTTCTAAGACTGGTGGAAATCAGCCCAGGCTCTCTTAGTGTTTTTTTGGAGCTTGAATATGGTATCAAACAGCAAAGGGGGGAAACCTGAGCATGGCCATGTTCCAATATGAGCCTGCAGCTCACTATACATCCCAGGGCTTAACAGGACACAGGGAAAAATGCTTAAGGAAGTGCAAAATCCAGCACAAAATAGGGTAAAACAACAACTCATAGACTAACCAAGCTCACCCCTGGCAGTGCTTTCCGGAGCTGGGCGAGAAGGGGCAAGCCGGCGCTCCGTGGAAGGCCTGAGGAAACGTCGCCACGCTGGGGCCACCAAGGAGGGCGCCGAGGCTGGGGGATGAACTGCGGAGCCGGGTGCTGCCCTTCGGATACCGGACCTCGGGTTTTCTGCAGCCACACTGCTGCTCCCAGCAGCTGTGGCAGAGGGAAGGGACGTGTTAATGTGAGAGCCCTGGGGATGCATTTGCTCCTGGCAAGCCCCAGGCACAGGATAAGGACTCGGCAGCGCTGAGGTTTTCAGTAAGTTCATGTGGAGTGGGGCAAAGTCTCTGTTCTTGAGAGCTCTAGAAACAGCTGCTTGCGAAGCAAATGAGGGGAAGATGTGGGGCCCAGGGATCTCGGGTTTGTTGGCCTGTGCAGGTTGTTGGAGCACAGGCGTCTCACCCCGTCTAGCTTAGAGCAAACCCTCCCGGCGTGGCCGTGAGCGTGGGTTAGCGACCTCACACCCCACTACAGCACCACTCAGGTGGGACACACAGCTCAGGTGGGGCTGAGACCTCACCTTTGCTCTGCAGCTGGCACCGAACCAGCCAAGACATTCCTCAGCTGCAGTTGCCCACCCTGCAGAAAACACAGTGATAAGGTCCAAAGACCTTTTTTTTTTAAGTAGAAAATGTTGGGGGTTTTTGACCAAATTGTTTTTTCCATTGCTTTTTCCTGCTTTCAGTGGGGAATTTCAGCTAACCACCCAAACAATAACAGAGCGCATGCAAAACACAGCATCTTCTCTGTTTCAAGAAAGCAAAAGCCTTTACATAAAAGTCTTTTTAAAGCTCTAAAACAAACCCATGGGCCAGCAAAGCTCACCTCCGAAAGCACTGTCCGTGGCAGGCAATGCTGTGAGCAAAGGGCTTGTGGAATCCCCTGTGACATCCCTGAGGTGTAGTGCCATGCGGTTTGCACCAGTCTGGGTACTGGAAGCTCGGGGGGAGGACTGAGGCTGTCCCGGAGAGCCAGGGAGGGGGGTGCTGGGGAGGGGCTGCAGCATCCCCTCACTGCTCCCTGAGGGGCTGGGTGAAGCGGCCATGGTGCCCACAGGAGGGCTGCTGTCTGGCTCCGTGCCTGCCCAGCCGCTTGCCTGTCGAGAGGGGCCGCCGGTGCCTGCAAGGCAATGGGGGAAAGCAAATGAGAGCACAGAGATGGGCTGAGCTGCCCACCCAGCATCTTCTGCTGTCACGCCCTGCCTCCCCCCACAGCCCGCGGTCCCCTTGCCTGTACTCCGCCTACAGCAACTTCGTGTTTGGGAACTGCACTGAGTAACTCCTAATTACTAAGGCCAGGAGAAGCCACATGGATCCTCCTCTCCACCCTCATGCATGAAGCAAGCCAGAAAACTGCCCTGAGCACATGGTGAGGATGGAGGGACGGATCCAGCGCCCAAAGATCTAGCAATGCAGGGAAGCCAGACTTAACCGATGCCCATTTTCTCCAGGGAACAGCATCCACCTCGTTCCCAGGTTGAACTGGGATGGCTCACCTGGGGGACGAGTCTCCGCAGAGGAAGGCGGCAGCACCATCCTTGTCACATTGTTGAACCCTGCCACGTCCCAGGTCACACGGCGCCTGCCCAGCGTCCTCTCGGCCGAATCGGTGCTGATGGATGCCAAAATCTGCGGCGTCCTCTCAGCAGCTGCAGGGGTGCCGGGAGAAGTCAGAGCCCTTTTGCCTCTCTCCTGGCTGCCCGCAGCATGGTGATGGCTTCCAGGGGCTGGAAAGCAATGCAGAGAGAGTCATGTTCCCCCTGGACAAGATAACATGACTCGGCTGGGGTGGCAGCAGCATCAACCGCAGCGGTAACCAGTCCTACCATACGCAATAGACAGGGTCACAGCAGCATCCCCCATGCTTCCTCTATTTAACACAGAGCACACTGCAAGAGGGACTGCTGGGAACAGAGGGTTTCTGTCACCAAAAAATATTGGTATTTCAAAATTTGTCTTCATTTGTGCATGCAAGAGAAACACAGATTTTTTTTAAAACACTAAAAATGCACAAGGCAGTAAATAGCTTATGCCAGGACAGCCAGCAGCTGGCAGCCTGGGCATGTCAGCTCCACACTCTAGTCCCTAAGCAGGAAAAAAAATGAGGAATTAAAAAGTTAAAGACAACCTCTATGCTCATATATCAGCGAGACACTTACTTCATCTGGGGGTATTAAGAAAAAACCTGAAATGGGGACAGGACAATCAGCACAGCCTTGACTTGCTGGTGTGGGAAACAGGCTTTGATTTAGTGCATGCTTAAGAAAGTACATCAGGTTACTCATGATCAGTGCCACGAAAAGTGGTGAAGATTATGAACAAGCCCAAAGGTAAGTGTTCACTTGCACGATCTCCACATGAGGACCTCAGCCACAAATCATGACGCAGCTGGTCAGGCATTTTTAACTTGGACACCCTTAATCTAGGTTGAGTTCGCAATGGGGTTCAGCTCCTCCTGGGAGGAGGCGTGGGGATACAGGCGGGTCTCCGCTCTGCTTTGAGGTCCATGGATAGGCAAGACTCTCTGGGGTGGCAAATAACAACAGCGGCAGCTCCCAAAAATCACCTTCATTGTAACTTTAAAAAAAAAAAAATCAGTTTTCCTGGGATGGGATTTCTTCCAAAAGTCTGAATTTCTAGCAACAGGGCGAGAATCCTTCCCAACCCACCGGCTATGCTTGGTTCATGGACTGGGTAAGGCCAACAGGGACTCTCGCATCGATAAAACTCACCAGGAGGATGGCTGCGGGTGGGCAGATGGGTTGCTGTCCCGGCAGACGGGCTGTCTGGGGGCCCTGCTCCTGGCGGGGTGAAATCCCCACCGCCGGCAGGGGGACTGACGTGCTCCGTGACCCCGCTTGCTGCTGGCACCGCACCATGCCTGGCAGGCAGCAATGCCTGCTCCCTGCTCCCGGCCAGCATCGTCACCAGCTCCATGCTGTCCACAAGAGCACCAGAAGTCCTTATCTCCATGTCCGAACTTCTTGCCTGACGGCTGCTTTCGATGACTGAAGGGAAAAACAAGAAAAAATTAAAATCCCATCAGTGTTGGATGTGCGGGCTCGGCTTGTTGCAGTAACACCGAGGCCAAGCTCTGATCTCATTTACACCAGAGAAAATTTTGCATAATCAAAACACAGACATGAAATTTATTTTTGGATTCACACCAGTGGAAATTAGATTGGTCTGTGGGGCCAAATGCTGAAACCCCTGTGTGTTCGGAGAAATAAAGGAGAAAAAAAAAAAAAAAGCAGTGTGGAGTCCATGGGAAGAGTGTGTATGTCTCCAGAGTTGATGGCCAGCTGGAGCCCAGCATAGCCCATGTGCCCCACCCCGAGGGCGTGATGGGAGCAGGGAGGGCCCCGCAGCTCTTCCCCTCTCTCCGCCTGGATGGTGCTTGCTGGACACCCGACCTCAAATCCCACTGCCTCCAGACAGCCAGTGTGAAGCTGTGTGAGAACTGCAGGGCAAACAGGAGGGTTGGCATAACCCATTCAGCCACCATGAGGCACCAGGACAGAAGAGATCAACATATGGTGTGGATTACACTATCCAGGTGCTGAAGCACCCCAAGGTGATGGACATTTTGGTGTATCTGACGTTAATGTCTACCAGAACATGAGAAACAAGATGAAGAAGTTTGTGTATCTGCAGGTCCATTTTCTGTGAGCAAACGTGGCCAGAGCCCCTGCTCCATCCTAAAAGTGTTTGGGTCTGCTTTCTTGCTCCTGCTGGAAGGCTGCTCTAAACTCCCACCTCTCCCATCATCCAGAATAATTTTCTTTTTTCATTGGAAAATGAATAAACACATTTATGGAATAAATGCTGGTTTCCAAGCCAGCATTACCCTTTAGCTTAGCTAGCTCTTCCCCTTCTTCCGCTTGCTCCCCACCGTGCCGATGTGTAACAGCAGCAATCTCATCCCCTCTTTGCACAAGTTGCTTCTGCATTTCTACCATCTGCTGTAATCTCATGGACACAGAAATGACTCGTCCCAGGAAGGTCAACAGTCATTACATGCTTTACGGGATCTCCAAAAGCACACAGATGGCTGTGTGCATTTCTAGAGTATAAACATGTTCCCAAATCGGGCCCTAAGCAAGGACTGAAGACGTTACTCAGTAGCCAACTTCTCGGCTCAATCATTAACGCTGACTGCCAGCAGCAGCAGCAGTACTCGGTCTGGTAGCTGTAGTTTCAGCCTTGGGTCTGCCATCTAGCCTGATACTGCCTGGAGCAGAGTGTCTACTGACAGCTGCCATGAGCGGTTCCAGTGAGATTTGCCAGGGAAATTGGGGGTTCCAGCCCACGGTACCAGCCAGGGCTGCACAAGGATTTCCCTGCACATCGGTTATGTGAAAACCAGCAGCGACTGTCCCTGCCCTACATTACAGCCCCGAGGCTTGGCTGGCACTGCAGCCTCAGATGCTCTTCAAAGTCCACAGCAACTCAAAACGAGTCCAAATCACGGCTGTGTCATCTGAAACGGTGAGATCCCAGTTTTGCCCATTTTCCTTATAACCAAAACTCAATCTCTGGGCTGGAATAGCCCACAGCATGCTCCACTCGTTGGGTGGGCAGAGTGGGAGCCTGGCTAGAGCAACTGCAATTTAGGGTGGCAGGGTCTGAAGCCTCTCAAGAAACTGAGAGAAGTCATATAGGGAGAGGAACTCTCCCCACTTTGCAGCTCGAAGATCCACCAGGCTACAGGACGTAACCTGCCTGGCACGCACACAGCATCTCAGATCAGGGCTGCGGATGATACACAGGCAGTGGCTAAAGACTCAGTCTCTGCCCAAAAGCTCTGATGTTCAAGGCTAAGCCTTGCACATCTGTCCTTGGCCTCCAAGCACTTTCTGTAAGAAAGCTGTGCCTTGGAGAAACCCCCATGGGACACCTACTCCTCCTTGCCTTGCATGTCTCCTTGGGGGTTGCTGTATCTGCCACGCCAGAGGTGGCAATTTCGGGAGCAGTCTCCTCTCTCCTTCTGCAATAGCTTCAGTGGGAACTCACCAAGGAAAAAAGAGATATGTAGGTAGGACAGTCTGCATTTCATCCCAGGAGTCTGAGCACCACAAGGCCCAAGGAGACAAGAGCTGCCGTGGAGCAGAGCCCCTCGGGTGCCTTTAATGACAGCCCTAGCAGTGGCTGCGATGCCCACCTCACCGAGCACACTGAGGTCTGCCATGTGGAGCCTGCCCTGTCCCATGAGCCAACTCCTGTCCCATATAACAAGCTGCTTATTGTTGCCCTTTGGAGGAGGGGATGCAAAGTCGCAGGGGATGCTCGCTACGCTCATTTGCAAGCCAATACCCAGCCTGTAATTGTAGCCTGCAAGTCCATTTATAGCAGCCCTGATGCTGAAAAATTTGGGTGTGCTGGAGGGCGACGCACTGTATTTCCCTCCATTCCCCTCTCGCTAAAAGCTTTCAGCTGTGCAACCCATGCTTACTGTGCCCCAGCAGCCGGCTTTGCTACACAGAAAAAGGCAAAGCAGCAGTTGCTTAAAGAAACCCTTAGGGGATGAGAACAGACAGAGGGAAATTTGCTTTCTCAGGTTGCCAAGTCGTTTGTCAACAAGCACTCCAGCCAGGCACGCTAAAATATATAGCGGGGCACTGCAGCAGGCATTTAATTACTACTTCTTAAAAATAACCCTTGAAATGCCAGGAAGCAGTACCTTCAGCTATGACCCCTGATTGAACGGCAACTGGTTTGAAAGTAAAATGCTGCTGGTTGCTTCTCTGGTTGTTGTTCGCCCTGCAAATCCACCCCGGAGTTTTCTCTATCCTCTTTTGGCCCCACAGAGCTGCTGGGAATAAAATTAAGCAAAACCTTTCCCCTTATCGTGGGCGCCAGCAAACCTGACTTTGAGTGCAGCCAGGGAGTGGACAGGCTGAATAAGAAGGTATTATTTACACAGGCTTTTTAGAGTCATCTGGCATTTTTAACTCTGCCCTGCAATGTACGCCAGGCCCCAGTGCAGGGAGGAAAACCTTGTGCCAGCACGGACTCAGCTCCCCGGTTTGGTGGGTGCAGAGCATGAGCCATGTTGGAAAATCCAACCCACAGCATGTAGTAAGGAAAGCCAAAAAAATCAGGCTGCTCAACAAAATAGACATGAAGTCTCAGCTCATCACAGAGCCATCAAGCCTGCCAGAAGTGCAAGACAACTGCAATCTCCTCTTTGACTTGCCTACAGAAATCAGCCTTCAAAGATGACCCTCCACTGGAGCGGATGGACCAGATGCGAACTTCTTCCAAAAAAATAAACATGGGACCATCTGGCCTCCCCTGATGCATTAAAGGCTTAAAGCAGAGCAGCCCTTTAGCTCAGGTACCGATTTGTCACTAACAATTTCGTCACATTCTAAGCTGCCAACTGCTTTCTGTGTTTTAACTCCATGCAACCGCAGCCGCCAAGAGAATTATTTGACTTCCAGCACAAAACCCTCCTGCCACCCGCTGGACCGGTGTTTTCCTTCCCAGTTAAAACTAGCAGTGATGCTCACCAGACAGGTCGAGGCTCGGAGTTACTTTTTCTTCGCAACCATAACAAGTCCGTGGCTTGCTGGGAGCTGAGTTATAATGTGGCCAGGACAAACAGATCAAGTTCCAGCCGATTTCTCGAGGCTTTGGGTTTGCCCCTGGCAGCCCGGCTGGATGTCTACCTTGTGAGACTCCTGAAAAATCCCTTTTGGACCAGTGATTTTTTGTCTCCATCCCTGGGTACAGCATGGGCATTGCCCTGGCCAGGAGGTGGCTGCTGCCAGGGCAACGTCATGGTGATGCTCAAGGCTCAACCATGGGACAGCACAACACTAAAAAGCACAGTACTGTAAGTTTTCAGCAGTGGTCACGATTTCGCACGGACATTTTAGTGCAGGGAGTGAGGACGGATGTATCCTGCTAATGCCAGGGGAGCAGGATCCCTGCAGACAGCATTTGGCAGGAGCAGCACAGCCAGCCAAGGCGCGCCACGAGCTATCCCAGCCCCGCTGCTTTCCTGCAGAAGGGATTTTTCTCATCAAAGGGCAGAAAAATACTCCCTTGACTGGGGAACGCAAATTTAATCTGTGTTTGCACACGAGGAAAGCCGAGAGTGGTTGCTTGGCTGCCCAGAGCAGCCTTTCACCCCAGAGCAGACCCTCCTCGGGAGGGAGGCGATTCCCTGGGGACTGTTCCGGTACGGCCGCCCATGTGGCAGCTGTTTTGCCAGGGCTACGGCCACCCCGGGAGCATCCCATGCTGAGCTGAGCGCGCATGAAGCTAAAGCAGGCTCCTCCCAAGGACAGGCAGCTATAATTATAAAGCCCACATCTGTTAACATTGCATAATCTTAACATCATCCAACGCTCGCGGAGGGAAAAAAACTCAGCTCAACTTAGAAAACTCCTTGCCGGCTGTAGGAAAAGGTTAGGAAGAAAGGCAGGCTGTGAGGGAGGAGAAGCAGGGAGCAAAGCCGGGGCTGCCGGCCTCGCAGCGGGTGGCACGGGTGGCTGCTGGTCCCCACCAGGGCTGGGGCCGGGCCCTGCGCTGTGTTTTGAACGGCTGCTGCGGATGTCGGGATCATGGGTGGAGGCCGGTTAGGAGCCAAGTGAGTTTGTGTGAACAAAAGCTACAGCCCTAAATCTGGACTGTCCAGGGCTCTCTGGGATTTTCAATTTCCTTCCTTGTTCTTGCCCTGAAAGAAGCAGTTCGAGATGGGGGGAGAATGGGGGGGGGCTGAAATGGAGCTTAAAAAAAAATTTTCATACTTGAGACGGGTCAGTTGAGCGTAAACACGTTGATAATATTGCTTGGGGAAGGTCCCTCGTGTGCACTAAGCACGGGAAGAATGCGAGAGGTCTTTAACCACATGCAGTCAACCCTTTTTTGCTAATTCTTTCAATATTAATAAAAGGAATTATTCAGGCTGGATGAAGAAAGGTGGTAAACAAGGGTAGATGGGGAAGAGAAGAGGTGCAGGAAAGCCCTGCTGGTGCCTCCCACACTGCTGTGGGGCTCG